TCCGCCTTAAAAAGTGATCCGCGGCGTCGGTAAGCGTTTCTATGGCTACATCTGACGAGTTTTCATATCCTATATGCGCTAACAAAGTGATCACAGTGTGCCTTAACAAATTTCGTGCAGTTTTTGGTGTTAAGTAATTTATAGTAGAATTATCTTTAAACGTATTCCTAAAACAATACAATTACAATAATTAATGTGATTATCTGTGTTGTTGTACAACAATTTAAGCTAATGCAAAAAATACCTTTTTGGTTGATAAGGCAGAAAATGGAACAGACTTCTAAAACATGTCATATCTTTTGAATCTTTTGAATCTTTTGAATCTGATGACTCTACCACAGTCATATTCCCAAGCACAGTTCCCTCTTCCTTTAAAAAAAAAAAGAGATTACCATATCAGTATATTTACTAGTAGTATATCATTAGCAAAAGCTTTGTACTGAGAGATCTGTTTAAATCTTACCATTGTACGTAATTGTTGATGAAGATTTATAGTGTTTAATACATGTATATTTCCCATTGGTAATCTATAATAAATATTAGTGAATGTTTAATAATGGATTAACTCATCATTTCATACATCAACATAGTAAATTATACTTACTGTAAATATTCAGGTTGCCGATCAATCCGGTAATCACAGTCTGTACTGTTTGAATCATCCATGACCTGTCGCCAAACATTTTCTATTAGATCTGGTGTTATCACTTCCTGTTTAATCGTCTCCCTTGCTGGCAACTCGCCCCACAGTCCGCTATTACTTATATTTTTGTTGGATTTCATTGTATACCTGAAAAAATATGTTGATTATTTTTACAATTGTTCATTGTATTTGTAGGAACAATTTGAAATAGAATCAGATTAATCAGAATATATATTAATCCTAAGTAAGTAATAAAGGCTGCTTTTCGCCGTTATTGAATTTTATATAGTATAATATTAAGAATGATGTAATGAAGATCGATATAATGTTTGTTGTCCATCATTAAAGAGTATTATATAGTAATTCTAGTGTCAAATAACTAGCTTTAATTCACAGCCCTTGTAATATCTATGTTAGATTTTATTTTTTGTTGGAAGTAAATGATCTATATAGAAAATGATATATATATATATATATATATATATATATATATACATATACATATAACAATACTTATATAATGTTATTACATTAATATAATGTTAGTACATTATATTATGATATAGTTTATATACATAACATACATAATTTATATTATGTACATAACATATATATTTTAAAACAAATTAAATGATAAAGGTTATGAGTTAAGGCAGGATGTAAAGTGCTAAATGAATGTTAATATTATGAATGTTAATAATTTCAATACAATGCTAAATGTTTCGACTCTCATTAGGTCATCCTCAGTAAGATAAAAATATATAAATAAAATAGATCGCAAATTACAAAAGTATCAAGTAACATGTTCAAATATAATTTATAACGATTGCATATGTTTTATATATATAATTATAAATATAAAACATTTTGATTTTACCCAATATATAAAATCATGTGTTAGGAAAATACCAATTAAAAATTCCCGCCAAATAATAACACTGCAATTATGTCACGTGCCGTCACATCAGCGTGACGTTCGGCGTACTTCAAGTAATCTCGAAACTCGATAGTGTTGTACGCGAGTCTTGTCAATTAAGTGTTGTAGGACCTTTTAAAGAATTAAGAAAAAAATCATCTCACCTAACGATCGTTCCTATACGAAGAGCTATAACGAAGTATAATCTTTCGCGCACAAGTGACTGTACAACTTCACATTTCTTTGTCAAGGATGTGCCAGCGTCACACACAACAATGGCCTGCTGCAATTAGATAGAGGTTAACATCACGGTGCGTCGCCAGTTGCGACACGTTGAAAAGATTCGCGTCGCAGGGTAAATCTTGTATCATAGCAACCATAGACGCGGTGAGTGTAAACTGCGCATTCTTATTGCATCTCGTTTTAGAAAGAGACAAAACATTAATAACAGGATCGGTTTGATACACATTCTGGAAGTTTGATATATATGAATGCGTATCATACGTAGAGTACGTATCAAACTTGTGTGTATGATACCTTTAACATAATCCTAACCTTTAATTTATTAATCTTATTAACTAAAAAACAATGTTTTAGATTTTTGAAGTTTTGAAGTATATTGCTGATTGGAAATAGCTCCAGAAATTTTTCAGTTTTATTAAAAATGTAATTTGCAAATAAAAAACGGAAAGGAAATAATACTGAAAATATAAATGCAGTACCCAGTGAGAAATAACAGTGGAATCGACATTAAATTGATGTCGATTCGACGTTGAATCGACGTCGATTCAATATAGATTTCATTATTATTTCTATATACATGAATTTGGTATACAATAATTTAGTAATTCGTTGTAATTTTTGTTCTTATTGCATGAATTTAATTTCAAGATATAATCTAATTATGCTATAATTTTCTAATTAATTTTCAATACAATTACATATTGTATTTCAAATTGTTGATATTGCAGTAAAATGTAAATTTGTTTTGTCAGTTCAAAACATCTAAATAAGATCATTGAATTAAAAAATTAGGTTATGTAATGTATAATACATAAATATATGAAAGTGGAGTAGTATCATATTTTAGTATCATATGTAAAATATCTAGTATATACGTATGATACACAGAGTATGATACGTTCCCATCCTGATTAAGAATTCACCTATCTTTCTCTAATTTCAAGTCACATTAAAGTAGAGACAAAAATCATTTGGAGGAAACAATAAACACGAGCTCTATATAATATACTGAATCGAACCATTAAGGAATGGAAACGTCCAGATTCTTACTCTCTAAACTTTTAAAATGAATCTCATTTTAAACAGTGAAATTTCACTCTTTTTCAAGATTGGCTCAATTTTCTCTTTTAGCTGGTCTGTTTTTTATTCCTGCATTGTACTCTACAACTTTTTTCTCACTTCAACTAAATATCAGACATAAATCTATTTCACTTCTAGTTCCAAAAGTATAAAAATTATATATACGAGGGCAAATCAAGTATTCGTGTTAGTAATGAAGACGCAAGCTTTTCACAAAAATTTTTTTTATTTTTCAATGTAATCTCCTTTTAGAAGGATACACTTTTCTCAATGCTTCTGCCATTTTTTTAACCCTTCAGAAAAATACGATTTGTCAAACTCTGCAAAATAGGCCTCTGTTTCGGCGATGACCTCCTCATTCGACGTGAATTTCTTTCCACCGAGCCATTTTTTTCAAGTTTGGAAACAAGAAGAAGTCACAAGGGGCTAAATCCGGAGAATACGTGGATGCGGCAGCAATTCGTAGCGCAATTCGATCAATTTGACTGTGGCGACTGCGGAGGAACCAGTGTATTGTCCTGATGGAACAACACTTTTTCTTTCGCCAAATGGGGATGTTTTTTCTTCAATTCAACAAGGAATCGGTCCAATAAGTCAGCATAGTACTGCACCGTGATAGTTTTTCTTTTCCTTATGTAGTCGATGAAGATCACGCCTTGCACATTCCAAAAAACAGTGGTCATCACTTTTCTGAGAAATCACGTCTTGATCTTTTTCGGAACACGTTCGCCGAGTAAGGTCCACTGTTTTGATTGTAGCTTGGTCTCCGGTGTGTAGTAATGAATCCATGTTTCATCAATGGTTACGCAAAAACTCATTTGAATTGCACTTGAACAGCTCCAAACATTGCTTTGAAATTGATAACCGCATCGGCTTGTTGTCTACCGTGAGCAATCTCATCTGTGAGTTGCACCCATCGGGCCGACAGCTTTTTCATTCCCAAGTTATCATGCAAAATATTGAATGCCATTCCGTACGACACTCCTACGGCCTCTGCTATTTCATGCACTTTCGTTCGGCGATCAGCGAGAACATGTCGTGGACTTTTTCAATGATTTTCTCAGTAACCACGTCTGCGGGCGGCCTGGGCGTTTCTCATCAAAAACAGACGAATGACCACGTTTGAATTCATTGAACCAATATCTGACGGTTGTCAGAGATGGTGAAGAGTTCCCATAGACGGCATCCAACTTCGTTTTTATTTCTTCGCACGTTTTTCCATCCAAAAATAAAAAACGAATCACGGATCGATATTGCTCTTTTTCCATTGTATCGGAAAACATCAAACACTACGAAATTGCTGTCAAATCAAGACTATTGCACTCTGAAATTTTGTATGACGTTTGAAAAATGGTAGTACATGATATATACATGTAATGCCAACTTGAATCAGCAACGCCGCCTGTCTTGAAACATGAGTACTTACTGATTTCCCTTCGTATAATATATATATATATATATATATATTATAATCAGACATACAATATAATGGTCGCATTCAGTAGACTCAATGGTTTATCACGCTATTGGATGATTTAAAAAAATACACCAATAGCAGCGCGCGTTTACGGACCCGCTCCTCAACAGTTGAGGGTGCGGTTCACTTGACGCCACAAATGTTTCGAATTTTTCATTGACCAATCGGAAGAAAGAATTTTATTAACTGACCAATCAAAAAATGCTTCGAAGCATCAAGTGGACCATAGCCTGAGTCTGCTGAACGCGGCCAATTAAGGTGCAGCTACAATAGAAGAAATAAGGAATTAGGAATAACTATTATTAACGATTTCAATGATTTCAACGATTTCCTATCAGAAACTGTGTATTCCAGTGTATCCGATATCTGATAAATTGAAATCTTTTTTTCTTATTCCTAATTCCTTATTCTTTCTATTGTGGCTGCACCCTTAAACTCCAGACAATGCGAAGGAATAGCGATAGCGATAGAAATAATATGATTTCAACTTATCAGAGGTAATGAATTAGATATACTAAATTAGATACACAGAATATACAGTTTTTGATAGATTGAAATTGTGTTATTTCTATTGCTATCATTATTTCTTTTGTATCCAGGGCTTTAAGTCTGTTCTACAATGTGCTCTTTATTTCGTGTTTCTTGCTTTTTCCTCCTTTTTCCCTCTCCAACCGTTTTATTGACAATTGTGTTTCTTACTACGTGTTTTTTGTTTCTTCTGAAGTTCATTAACTTTTATCTCGGGCGGACACAAAAAACCGGATGAAAAGCAAAAAGACATGAAAAATAACAAAAAGCAGAAAACAGAAAAAAAATTGTAGAATAAGGCTTTATGGTTATGGGAATGAGCTTTACGGTTAAAGATAAAAGTTAACGATCTTCGGAAAAAATAGGAAACATGTAGTAAGAAAGTACAATTGTCGATAAAACGATCACAAAGGGGAAAAAAGCAAGAGGTGAAAAGCAAGAAACAGGAAACAAAGAGTGCATTGTAGAATAGGCTTTATAGTTGCGAGAGAACAAGAGTTTCAAGATGGAGGGGCAACGCGTAGTGCGAGTGTCGCGAGCGATCTCTCGATAATCGATATTTGAAATTCGAATACAGACTGCATAATGGAGAACGTTTCGCACGCTCAAATTACGTTGACAAGATGTTCCTCTGCCGTTGCAATCGCCACTTTTACGAGTAATACGATCCTCCAGACTTCACACATACGAGAATATACTTATGTGAATGTTATCACCGCGGTCTAATTTATGTCTACACATTCGTAAACATTATTTATCCTTATTTAATATTTGATAAACAAAAAGGATGAAATGAATTCTTAAGCGTTGTTACAGTAAATCGAATCACAGACTATAGGCCTCTTCCTTTTAGCTGAACTTCTTGCACGGTTTATCTTTTCTCTTTTTCTCTCCAACGAAAGAAAGAAAAGAAAGAAAGATGAATCGTGCAAGAACTTTAACTAAAAAGAACAGACCTTATGTTTATTCAGCTATCGCCTGCGCTCAGATAAAGCCATCAGATTAGAAGAGACAAAGGTAACGATTCACGTACGATCGTGACTTATCGTTAGTATCCTTCTAGAATACACGGCTCAGCATTACACATCGTCGCGCTCTGAAACACGAGGTTAATACGATGGAATCCGCGGCGGTCTCGGTCTTGAAGCGAGCAGTGGAGATGGACAAGAAAGAACAATATACGATGGCATTGGTGTTGTACCAGGAAGGCGTGCAGATACTTCTTGACGCGGTAAAAGGTATACTATATAGATCAATATAGATACCTTTTGCTTCTAGTTTCATTTGTTAAGAGAAAAAAAAAGTGTTCAGTATATCAGCTTTATTATTACTGGTTTTATCAAGAAGTTCAAGATAATAAAACGATGCAGAAACGAAGGAAGCATTCAAGGTGGAATACCTTACGACCAAAGCGAGAGAGTATCTTGACAGAGCCGAGAAGGTGAAGAAATTGATCAGTACGAGGAAATTAGCTGGAATATACACAGAAATGATTAAAATTGAGGATGGATCGATGGGGTATGGCTACGCAAGTGTCTTCGGCAGATTCTTGGATGGTACCGTCACTTCAATTGACATCGAAGATCCATATATACGAGTCTTCCACCAGGTGTGTGCTGTTTGCATAAGTTCTGAAATACAATAGGTATAGTTAGTAAGCTTTAAATTACAATGGTGGCTCTACAATGGAAGTCGTAGTGGTCTTAAGTCGTAGAAAATTAGCCAATCACAGTACAATATGAAAAGAATAAGTGACTATGATTGGTTAATTTTCTACTTAAGACTCTACGGTCGTTATGACTTCTATTGTAGATAGAGATGAAAATTACTGGTAATTTACTTGATAAATTACGGTAAATTAGTTAGTAATTTTTGGAGACTGGTGAAATGGTAAATTTAGAAAAATTATAAAAAATAATTTGAAATAATGTAAAAGTAGTTAGCCTTTAATTATTACATTCATCAAAAACTTTATTTAACTCATATTTTCATTTTGATATTACATATTGGTATACAATTATATTGTATATGTATTATATTATTCTTTTAATTATATATTGAAAATTATATATTGAAATTCTTTTAATTATATAATATATGATAAAAGATTAGGTACATGGTCTAAGCTAAAGGAACTTCAAATAAGTTTGTTTTTAGGAATCTGAAAAAACGTAACAAGTACAATAATCTTGAACTATTTTGTACATATTTTGATTTTTTAAATTTGTATTTTTATATTTTTACTTTATAATTAAACTTATAAAACTTTCATTTATTTGCTTGCTATTTTAGTGACTAGACTGTTAGAGACAGTTTTTATTAGAGTAAAAACAAAGACACAATTATACATCAAAAATAAAATATAATCTTTTCGTAATTGCACTATTGTTGAAATATAGAATAATTTTAAATAATTCGGTAAGAAACTAGATTTTAAAATATAAAACAAGGAATTATGTAAAAAAATTATTGGAATTTTTAATCTATATTGTTTTTTATTTTTTCACTGTATTAAATCTCTAGGGAACCATATATTGAAAACGGCATTGATTAGATTTTACGTTTAGATTTAGTGAATAGTTCTATTATTATTCCATCAGAGATTTTTACTTCCGATTGCTGCCAATCGAAGATTAGCGAAAATGGAGAGAGTATGTGTTTCACCAAGGTAGATCGGTATTGATAATATCCATAACTACAATGTATTATATATTCTTATCAACTTTTGACTACTGACTTCTTATTGACCAAGCATGGTTTATAGCATGCAACTATTATATTTTCGTTGAGAAGAATATTGTTTTACATGCATTAATGTGAAAAATATAAATAAAACCTAATCTTTGTTGTGTATAAAACAATAAATTTTGTCAAAATTATCAATAAATTATCATTTTACTGTAATTTTATCGTAAGTTAATTGTAAAATTGAATTTGACTGTAATTTTACTTCTAATTGTAGAGACTCCAGATAAGATATTATCTAAAACAGTCGAATATAAGGAGAATAATCGACTATGATTGATTGATTTCTTACTTCTTAAAGTCTTAAAGTCTATTCAAATGTGTTCTTTGTTTCTTGTTTTTTATCTTTTGCTTTTTTCTCCTTTGTAACCGTCTTATCGATAATTTTATTTCTTGCTATGTATTTCTTCTTTCTTTTAAAATTCGTTATTTTTTATCTCAGGCAATATAAAATAAAAAAACTGGATAAGAAGCAAAAAGACAAAATGTAAAAAATAGCAAAAAGCAGAAAACAGAAAACAAAAAGCACATTGTAGAATAGGCTTAAGGCTTACTACTATCTAATGTGTTTCGAAACTAATACGTGAATGTATAATGATATGTAATTTGATATATTGTGCTGATTCCTATATTCTATCTTCTTTTATAGTGTCAGAATCTAGTCAGACTATGTGAGCTGGCAGTTCAAAAGTGCTGTGCACTGTCCAAGATATCCCTGCTTACGACTTACAATAAAGAAGCTGGCCAAGTCTCCAGATTGGCTGAGCTGAAAGAAAGTTTGGCGTCTCGTAATATTTCTTTTCATTTCTCTTTCTCCGAGACGTTACACGACAGACAAATTACGTAAGACCACAATACAATTATTACGTTCTGAAAATTTATTCCGAATTTATCAATTATCTTTCTTTTTATTTCAGACTGAGCAACGGATGGGTGATAAAAATCGGGCGTGGATTGGACTATTTTAAAACGCCGGAAGGTAAATTCGTTCTTGGTTCGTGCGATCTAGAATTAAGACCCTGCCAGGAGACTACTGTACACATTCTTCATCAAAACAATCTTATCGTGGACGGAGGACCATCAAAATAGGACATAATTAATATAATAAGATAATGGTTAATTATTGATTTACATTTTCTTTATGAATGTATATTATGGCACATTTTTTTAGTACGTGACAAAAAAAAAACATTTACATTTTTACAATACGCACCTCTTGCAATATGATGCGCGTCAAGAGTTATATATATATATTTAACAAAGATACTTATTTTCTTCACATTATTTTTTTACAATATAATTATTGTAATTATAATTCGCGATTATAAAATGTATTTACAATTTTTTTCATTGTGTGTAATCTCTCACTTATTTAATATTGTATGAATTATCGCAACAAATTCTTTTCCTTTCCAGAACTCCCTCAGTCTAGCGGGCTGTGATCCTTTGCCTTCGCGATTCCAATTTGTTTCGCAGCCTTTTTGCACGCTCGTCTCAATGATCTAGTATATCTGAACAAGCCCGTTTCCGCCTGCATCTCCTCATCCTTCTGATCCATTTGAGGTTCATTTACTCTGCATGATCTGGGCAAACAATCCCCACCGCCGACAGCGACCACTTGTCTCGCAATCTCCGGCTCTACGCAGAGTCGGGTCAACGCAGCTGCTGCGGTAATCTCCAGCCGTTGGTATGCGTCCTCCAAACCTGGTGGCCTCATTCGAAGAAAAGAAACTAATGCTACAGAGGCTCGTGCCTTTGCTAAATGCGATCGGCCTTCAGGAACCCGGGCCAGTTCACCGATTAATGCGGCAACTTGTTCCATCAGCCATACGTTACCGCCGGCGGATTTCTTCACGCTTCTTAGGAGCTTCTTTACGCTATCCTCCTCCAATATAATCGTAACGCATATTCTTGACTTGGACAATTGATTGAGCGCCGCGGCGGCCAACAACAAGGTTTGTGCGCAATTTGTATTCTCAACCAGCTGATTCAATGCCGGAATCAACGAGTCTACAAAAGGTTCAAGATACGGCAGACCTCGCGCATTGGTCCACGATGCCGTGATTTGCACTACCAAAGCGGTAGCTTCGGTCTTTTCCTTTTCGGAAGAGGATTCCGCACCCAGGAAATCCGTCAATAACTCAGGACCGCCTTCTCGGGCGAAATATTCGATCGCTGTCGCGGAACTGCACACGCTGGCCAGAGCACGTATCGTGATCGCAACAAGATCATTTGATAGTCGACTAGCGGTGACGAGACACGTTAAGAGAGCTTTTATGCCGGAACATCGAGCTATGCTGCTTCCCGCGCGAGGATCTGACAATCCTAAAGCCGTCAGGGCTGCCAGAGCGCCTCTAGCCACGGTACTATCCTCCCATGGAGCTTCCTCAAGACTTCGGACTATTTTCTGAAGAGATTTTTGTATCATTATTTTTTTTTTATGACTACTTTCAATAAATTTAAGATGATATAACTAACCTCGATGTAAAAATCTAAGCGCGTGTCGACTGTACTGTCGACGTATATTTTCATATTTTGCAATTGCGCGAGGATGCTTCTCAAACTACCCTGCTGTACCCTGCGAGGAGGAGGTGCACCTAATTGAGAGAGGATCGAAAATGCGGCTTCTTCTATATTGCGAAGAAGCTCCATTTCGCATCTGCCACCTTCCAGCCGAGTTATTTTCCTGCGCAACAATAATTAATGTAATTATTAAATTATAATTATTAATCATCACTTTTAAATATCAACAATTATCAACATGTATAGTTTTCTTGTTTTACAGTTAATCATGGATTTCGTACATAACATTAATTAAAGATAATTATCTCTAATTGATCGAATGCAATAATTCGGGATAATAAAGATGCCTGCTCATCTCGATATCATTATATAAGAGGATTAAAGAAAATGGACTTACTCCACAATACTCTGATAATGTTGCTCGAATTGTTCTGCGTTGACTAGAAGTTTGCTTGCGGCCGCGGTGGCTGCAGAAGACAACATCTTTAAATCCCGCGCGTGAACTTCGCCGGACATCATCCGGACTTCTCTGCGCGGTAAATTCTTGCTTTGCAACGTGTTGCCGCACTCGTTCTCGGTCATCGTAGTGAGGTCAGTGAGCCATGCCCTCATGGATGATGATTGACGATAATTTCTGGACTCCAACACGTCCCTGCCGGCGGCGATTGCTTCCGCGGCGTTAGTGGAAGCCCACGATTTCGTTATTGACGACTGAATGCTATCTTCCGGCGGCTCAGATGCGTACAGAAAATCACATAGACTTTCTTCCTCCAATACGGAGGAGGGTACTTTCGATGCATTGTCCTGATCTTCGTCAGCCCTGGAAAGAAAGTTTGGTAAGCACAATAAGAAATTATTATTATTATATATAAAAAAACAATTAACTTTAAATATCACTCAGACAATAAAAAAACATCCTACTTTTCCAGATATTCTTGAAATATCTTTCAAATATCTCTGGGATTTCAGTTTATTTGACTTATCGTTACCCTTAAATTACACCACCTTAAACGAGTCATAGCGAGTCGACGCAGATCTCGGCACGATTATTGTCATTCTGTTACTGTGAGACGCATTGCAATGCAATGTATTCGTAATCGTCGTCGACCGCTTTTTTCTGAACAGACGGAAGCGCCAAGGGCAATTAGTGGCAACTTAAAAGCTGACTAATCGAACCGCTGCGAAGAATACTTCTTTTCCCCGCGCACGCGATGACTAATCTCCCACTTCTTCGATACGTTGCGTTGTATTGTAATGCGTCCACCTGCGCGCCGGTGCACGTTAGAGCTGAATTCCTTGTAGATTCGCTGTCGCGTACCGAAAGCACGGCCTAAACAGTTGACTCAAACCTCGGGCTAACCGACAGCTACAGCCTCGCGCTCATTCATTTATGTATTCTCCTCGTGCGGCACGTCGCATTGACTCACGTACGAATGTACACGGTGACGAACAGAAAAGCGCAACCGTACAAGGGAATCCAGCATGATTGGCATCCCGATCTCATAACGAATTTAACACCCGATGGAATACAAGAAATGTCCATACTTCTATCAATATAGATTAATTTTGATCTCTCAGTTTAACTTACTTTTTATTTTCTTCTAGTTTTTAAGAATAAAAAAAATAAAAAATAAATTGAATTGTTGAAGTTATTAGAAAAAGATAAAGAGAAAATTGAACTGTAAGATTAAAGTTAATTTACAGTAGTGGAAATAGAAATGCGCTTTGAATCATAGGTAATTCATGAAAAAATTATTGTAGCATATAAAACTATAAATTCGTTTTAAAGAGGACTAAAGAAAGAAAAAGCTCAGAATACACAGGTAGACTAGGATACAAAAGAATGGACTTTCCTTTTCCTACATTATTTCGTTTTGTTAATATCGCATTACTCAAGATGCAAGTTTATAATTGCATGTGCAATGATAGGTGTTTCCGGTACGACGATTTACATTATCGCGTTTTACAGCGTAGCAGTACGATTGTCAGTGCTTTTTAATCAGCGGAAAATAATGCGCAATCTAATGACCGCTCTGTCCAACCGCGAGATTCGTAATTGCGCACATATTTCATTTAATTGATTCGAATCCCTTTATTGTACGGTGAGACCTCATTACGTGCCGTAATAAGTCGGTTAGCTGTGCATACGAGGGCGTGATACGCATACAATGACTCGGCGATAAGCCGAGGCACCTTCACGGGCTGAGGACTGATAATCATCCACTCGAGGCCGGCGCATCTCTCGCTGTATTATGACACCCGAAGAGAGGAGCTCGATTCTCGAGCGTGCGTCATTGCTTACGACACAATATAAGCTGTGCGATACAATCCACGTATGTTCTCATGTACGCTTATTCTACATTATTTTGTATTGTTCGATTAAGTACGGAGACAGCGACAAAATTGCCTTACGTATCGCATTCCTTCAACCGATTGACTCATGCATTTCTCCAATCTTATCGCGACGATTTCCCGGGCGTTCTTCCGGTCCACATTGACACAGTTTTGAAAATTAAAAATTATTAATATCGTTATCGATAGTGCAGCTTTCCAAAGAACTATGCGCGTGTTGATTCAGACCCAATCATATTTTCTGAGTCAGCAATGTGCTAAAAAATGACGCACGAAATGAAGTAAAACGGATATGTCTGCAATTTGCTTCGCTTTTTCCTTATCCTTTTTTTTTTTAGTATGTGAGTCTTTAACTTTTTTTCTTTATTAATGTAAAATAATAACTTCCTCACCTTCGTTCTCGCGACGGGCTTCTTGCAGGTTTTTCTAACCGATTTCTCGCGAATATCTTGGAATCCTTTGGCGTGGACGTGTGCGTCGGTATCGGGGGAGATCCTTCCTCCAGCCATGGAGAAGCTGGCTGGAGCCTACGTCTCATCCGTTTTCTCCTCAATTTCCGCCTCGGAGTTGCGTTCTCATAAGCCTCCGAACAGTCCGATCTCTCGGAATCTGAGAATCCGGAGTCCTGGCTCTTGAAATCTTGACTCAAAGGACTGTAGGATCTGTTTTTTCTCTCGCACTCCTCCCCTTTATCTGTTTCCTCCATTGACATTCTAAATATTTAAATATTATTTTAAATATAATATTATTAATACATTAATTAATACAATATCATTAACATAATTAACTTGAATTGATCTCTTCCTGAATTTTTTTAATAAACTATAGACTTATAGACTATTAAAAAATGACTTTAGGGCAAGGGCAATTATTTTAAGAGCAATCATATTAAATTATTTACTATTGATATTGAAAACTAATATTGATGGTATCTAAAAATGATTTCGTATTTTTTGTTAAATAAATATAGAAATTGTGTGAGGCTATTTGGTCCTAGAATACATTGTTCTGATATCCAAACGCACTCACTGTCTTCACTATTTTCAGTTAATAAAGAAATACTGTAACTTTAAACAAAAATACTTTCAAAAAAAATAAAGAAATATTGAATTATATTATTTTGCAGCTTGGCGACGAATTGCTTATTCTACGTACCTACGACGTGTTATACTTTCATTGCGTATCAACGAAATCTGACACGCGTTTTGTTTTGTGTTCTCGTCGTTACAGACATGTATCGCGGTGATATTCATATCGTCGACTGTATCATTTTCTGACTTGGTCGAATCTTCTTCTTCTTCTTCTTTCTCTTCTTTTTCACGGACATGTTCGTTAAAAGAATAATGCGGAGGATCGTTTCTTCCTACAGAACGATCATCCTCCAGATCGTGTGAGGCCATTTGATCCCAGAACACTTTACT